AAAAATGGGGAAAGAGAGACCTCTCAGAGCTTTGGCTCTATTTTCAACCTGGAATCAAACCAAGGCTTACAAAGGACACGGCAGCACTGTCAGTTTTCAAGGACAACAGAGCCACACTCCAGAGGACTCCAGTGGGGACTCCAAGAGGGGAGAGCTGCTAGAACAATCACACGCGGCCTGTGGCTGAGAGTTCGGGGCAGGACGTGAGCGTGTGGGCACCACGGTCCAAAGGCTGCTTTGACCTTCCTTGTGTACAGAAGACGAACCTCCTAACAATGATCAGACTGAGTGGCGATGTTTCTGTTCCTGCACGTCCGTGAGCTCCTTCAGGTAAGAGGTTCCATTTTATTAAATGTAATACAATACACAATTGTATATATTCAATGCATTTTCATAAGCCTGTGCCCATGTACCTACCACAGGGTGCATATGAGGAGGGCGAACCTCCCGGTACCCTTGAGCAAGGCCAAAGGAGAAAAGCAGCAAGACATGCCCATGACAGCACCAGTCGCCCTTACTCCCCGCGGACCTGGCATCGGGGGAGCCCCGACGTCCCATGGCTCTGAAGCATTCCCGCACTCAGCAGGGTCGAATGATTTGGACAAGGCGGCCACGTCAGGCCTGCGATATTGCAGTTCTTGCAACATTGATCTGTGTAATTTGGGGCAGAGCTGGGCTGGGGTCGGAAAGAAAAGCTGTGCATTGTCTAGGGCTGTTTACCCAACACAACAAAGGGACCGCTAACCGGGTTTGTGCTGTGGCATTAACCACGCACACTTGACCTGAGTCAATGGAGCCTTCATCCTCGGCGATGTCCTCATCAGCCAGGGGCCAGCCCCTCCCTCACAGGCAGGAGGCCCCCAGACGCCTTCGAGGCCTCTCCAAAGTGTTTTCATCGCTTTTGAAGTCAGAAGAGAAATGGGCTTCCAGGCCTCAGAAAATATTTAAATAAATAGCAATATGTTCACGTTTACCTCAGTGCTGTCACGACGTGGAGCTGTCAGTGAACTTATTTATTTTGGTGAAGGGCAGGTGTCCCAAAGGCAACTAGAACTCCACCCAGTAGATCAGAGACATGAAGGGGGGATAAAATCCTGTTTTCAGAAAAAAAACCATCAAGCAATCACACATGGCCGGACCGTTTTCAAGGACACGCAGGTAAAGTTGGGGGACACCGGCCAGGCTGGCAGGGGAGGCATGGGATGGGTCAGCTGGGTCGGGAGGACCCACAATCCTTCACAAGCCACACGTTTTGGGGATATGACCCTCATTTTCCCTCTCACAAGTCTACTGCTCTAGCTAATGAGCAAATCAGAAGAAACAGAAAGAATTCTAGACCTCAGCACCATCAAACTAGGGGAGTTCATTGAAGATACCACTTTTCACACAGTGCAATCATGGTCTCTTTGTTTTGGTCAAAAGAGTGAAAGAATTTTTTCAAACCCACCTCCCCCGTCCCCACCTCCCCACCCCCAAACCATTCTCTGGGCCGACCATGGTATTTCTTATCTTTTCTCATCGGTTCCACACAGGATCCCGTCCGTGAGGACGGGCAGCACAATTACAGTTCGACAAGACGCATCGAGCTTCCCATACAACGAGGGCCTTTTAAAAATGCACTTGACTTTTCAGGTGATTCAGCAGGAGGAGCCATTAGCGCACCATCTAAATCGGGACTTGGAAAGTTTATTAAAATTCGATTTTTAACCTGATCCCCATTTCCTCTGCTTATAAAAAAAATCCCACTGGACTGCTTCATATTCATGCTCTTAACCTGAAAGATTCAAACGGCCATTATGGGAGGAAACACTTTACAGGGGAGCCCCACAGGCTGGAGTCACGGATAAAATCACGCTGAGCCCAGGCAGGGAGAGGCGCTGTGGACCCTGGACGTCTGCCCGGGAAGCAAACTCTCTCTCCTTCTCCCCCTTCCCCCCTCCCCTTTCTCCTGGTCTCCCTCACATACCTGTGGGGGGCGGGAAGACAACCAGAAATAACGAAAGAAAACATAAGCAAACTATTCAATCTCAGAAATCATTCCAGTAGAAGTTTAGCTTTTACTTGGATAAACTACCTCCTACCCCGGTGCCCTAACTACTCCCCCGCACTGATGCCATGGCTTTGAACTTCTGTGCCTTGTTTTTGTACAGTGGAGAAATCACAGCCTCTAAGAAGGATGGTGCAAGGATAGAATGTGCAACTCGTGTGATGCATTTTGCACGGCGCCTGGCACAAACACCTTGAATGCCTCTCAGCGGGTGTTAGGAAGGATTGCTGACCAAATTCATAGGTCAGTTTCTTTGTTTCCATTTCACTCTTTCAGCCTTTGTCTTCTGCAGAACGGGGTTTGCAACCTAACTGACATGTCGGTGAGTTTGGGGAGTAAGAAATAGGTTGTGGGTGTTCATCTTGTTTCCCCTTGAGATCTGATTTTCTGCGCCCTGAGAAGAGAGGTAATGACCCAACTTCCCAGGGGGGCTGGCATAGTGCCGAACACAGACTAGGTGCCCAATAAAGGCTTGGCATGTTCGAATATAGGCAGCTTAGAGGTCACCGACTAAAGCCCTCTCAAGTTCCAGTTGATGACACTGAGTGAGAGGGTCTGGGGCCACACTCGGAAGAGTGACGGCCACACTTCTGGTTGACTCTTGTCCTGTCTCCTACGAAACCCCTTTCTGAAATGGAAACATGTCCATCCTGAACCATGACTCCTTGGGGGAAGTTCAGTTTAGAAAACTTTCTCTTTTGTGGAGAGTATATTATGTTTCAGATACCATGCAAGATTTGGGAGAGACAACTAAATCACGGTGGCCAAGTTCAAAGGCCTTCTAATCTAGTGGGGCAGACAGATCTCTAAGCAGATCCCTTCAATAAAATGTTCAGGTTACAATGCAGCTGAGTTTCGGTGATAGGAAAATGCCTGTAAGGAAACCTGTAGCTCATGTCTACAAGAGGTCAGGGAAGGGGGTTGAGGAGAAATGACAGAAAACCAAATAAGAACCAAGGAGCCAATTAATACTGTCTTATCTATCTGAGTACAGGAACACCGATCGCTGATCAGCGAACGTTGGCTGAAATTAAAGAGCGTGAGAAATGAAAGAGAGCTAAAATCCCAGTCTGCAAGCTCTCGTCCCTCGCCAGACCGGCTGGGAGTCACGGGTTGAGTGTGAAGCTTCCGACAGAGGCCCAGCAGGGGCTGCTGCGGCTGGGTTCTAGCTCCTTTTCGGGACTCATCCTGGGGCACTAAGCAGGTCGGTGAACCCGTGTCTGGCTCTGTGGGTGCCAATCGCACTGCCAGCCTCCCTCCGCGTCTGGCAGATGAGTTGTGAGACTCACGCGCTGGGCACCAAAGCACTGTCCGCTCTCGCGGGGAAGGCATCCCAGTGACTCAGAGCGTCGGAGCCTCTCCCTGTTTAGACGGACTCCTATGTGACCTGCATCGGGCTGAGCTTCTGGTGGGAGCTTGAGGACACCAGTCGTGCACAAGGGTTGACCTTAGACGGACATTTCACCCGGAACAACCTCCTACGTGACTTGATGTGACTTCGTAGAATGGGGGGGAAGCCCTTCTTTTAAAGCTGGTGTCAACATAAACACCACGACTTTTCAAAGTGGGGCTTGAGGCTGACTTTTAAACCTTCTTGTATACACACATATATAAAACTCACATATCCATCTTAAAAATAGGCATGTCGACAGTAGTCTGGTTCGAAGACGTCACCAGAGTCACTAAAACCCCTAAAAGCTTACTTTCCAAAATAAGGGTTGTTGTCATGTCGGCCTCACTGATGTGTCTGCCTTTGGCTTTATCAGATAGCCAGAAAATGCCGGCCTTTGCGCTGCTTTCTAAAGGACAGCCGGTTGCATTACGCTAGGGAGGAGGTCACTCTCCTCTGGGTATACCGTCCCTTAGGTGGGACAGTGTCCATAAAACTAAACAAAGTTCATGAAAGGTTTTCAAAACTTAGGTGGCATGTTCAAATTCTTCCATATATTTAGGTTCCCATATTTAAGGTGTGGAAGATCTACTGAAATCTCATCTTTAAAAAAAAAAAAAAAGAGGACTGTCCTTTGACGTTCCTTTGGCATTTTTTAAAAAACACATTTGCTGGCCTGCCTTTGCAGTGACTTGCTTTGTTCCGGGTCGGCAGGGGAGCGGGCAGACCCGCGTCCCCCAAGGAGATCCAACCCCACGCCCCTGGGCATCTGAATTTGAAGTTGAACTACTGAAAGCTGGCCGAGTTCTCGCCGCCAAATCCCCCACCTACCAGAACTGGGGGAGGGGACGGGCGGGGTTGTGGGGGGTGGGGGGACCCTGCTTAGTTTCAGAGATGACGTGTGCAGGCCGGTGCACGGGCAGAGCCGCGCTGAGTTTTCTGCGCTCTCCGGGCGCGTGTCCTCGTCCTTTGCTGCCGGGCGCCACACCGAAGGGAGGGGGCGTGTTCGATGGCGACCTGGCGCGCGCCGGAGCGGGCTCCTCACTCGGATCCCGGGTCGGGCTGCCCTGCCGCCGCCGCCGCCGGCGTCCCAGCCCCGCCGCGGTGTGAGCTCCAGAGGATGGCTCCCTCTGCTTCCCGAGCCGCGCGGAGAGAATCGGGGCCTAAGGTGGGTCACCTGCCGGGAAGGGGACACGCGGCGTGGACGCAGAAGGGAGGGGCGCAGGTGCCCGGCACCTGGCGGGACTGCAAGTGGAGGAAGAGGTGGCCTCAGGGTTGGCACCTGCCCTTTCCTAGCCGGGGGAGGGAGTTGCTGCAAACCCGGACGCCCCAGGTTTGCAGCAAAGGCACCGTCACCTTACCCACAGCTGGCCCCGCCCCCCTGGCCGCGCCCCATCCGTCACCCAGCGAACTGAAACCCGGGGAGCCGCCTCTCCAGGTGGGCGGGGCCCACTCCGCCCCTACCTGCCGGCTGAAGCCGAGAGCGCGGCAGGGCCCCGCCGCCGCGGGCGCCGAGCGGCGAGCGTTGCACCCAGCGGGCTCGACTCGGGGCAGCGCCGGAGCAGACCGGGCAGCAGCGGGCGCTCGCGATCTTCCTCTGCCCGGCGCGGTCTCCCTCCGGGCCCGGCCTCCTGCGTCCCCTCCTCCTGCCTCTGCTCCTCCTCCCGCTCCTCCCCTCGGCGGGACTCGGCTGCGAGGCTCCCGCCCGCAAAGTCTCCAGCGTGCGGGCAGCCGCGAGCCGCCGCCGCCGCGGACGGGTCTCTGGGCGCCCGCTCACCTTCAGCGCCGCCTGCCTGGCGGCGTCCCGGAGCTCCCTCCGCCCGCGGCCCGTGCTGGACGGCGCTGCCCATGGCCCAGCCCGACAGCCGACTTCGGGCGCCGGACCGGCGGGACCGCGGCGCCGCTCAGGTGAGTGAGGCGCGTGCGGGGCTGGGGCCACCGGGCTGGGGAGCGGCAGGACGTGGGGCGATCGAGGTGGCCCGATCTGGCGTCCTGGACTTAGGGCACGAGCAGAGGCCGAGGTGAGTCGGGGCTGGAGCAAATGTAGTGGATGTAGGGGAACGAGGAAGGGGAGACTCGGGGGCGTCCTGTGCTCCTCAGCTCCTGCCTCGGCCCCCCACTCCCCCCCGGGCTCCGCAAGCCCCAAGGGACTGTTTATATTTTGCGGGCAGGGGAGGTATCTGGGTCTCTCACTCTTAGTGGATTGGACCTGAACCCCTCGCAGAGTCGGGGGTTCCCTCTCGTCCACCACGGCTCCCTGGTGTCGTGAGGGAAACTGGAGCGCAGAGCGCAGCGCATCCCGGGTACCACTTGGGCTGGGGACTGGGGCGGGGACGCGGTTAGCAAAAAGTCAGCCGGTCCAGGGAGCATCCCGGGTAGGGACGCCTTGGTCTAGTTTGCTTCTGCATTCAGCTGGAGCCGGGACGAGATGGGGCATTTCCCCGGGGGCGGGGATGCTCGGGACCAGAGAGACCGAGGCTCCCGGCCTGACAGTGAGTAACCTCTTTCCCTAACGGCAATTGTACACGGTCCCGATTTTTCCTGTTACTTTTTATCCCCCCACCCCACTTTTTTTTTCCCCTGCCTCTGTTTCTATTTCGAGCACCACGGGTGTCCGCAGCGGGTGAGGGCGAGGGGAAGTGGGGCGCCAACCCGCGGTGGGAGCGCGTAGCCCCAGTTGCGAGCGAAGGGCACCCTCCAGGAACCTGACATCTCCAGGTGCGCTTTCCAAGCCGGGTGACACAGCGCGCACTGCTCCCCTCCTGGCCCCACCTGCCTGGGGAGCCTGAGCGCGGGGTTTGGCGAGTCTGCGACCGGATGGGGAAGCCGCGGGATCAGAAGGCGGGTTGCAGGGCGCGGGGTGTGCTCCGCGCCGCAGTTGCTGCCGGTGCTTTATGTCCTACACCTTTTGGACTCGCAGGGCCAGCGTCCACGCTTCCTCGCGCACACAGAGAACCCTCTCTCCGGAGGGCAAGCGGGGTGGGCACCCTTCCCCCTCGGCCCCCTACTTTGCAGGACCAGTCGCATCCTTGCTTCGCCTTGCACGAGTCTTGCTCCTCCCCCAGCATTATCCGCCGGCTATTTTTATCCAGCCCTTGTACGAAGATGCTGGGGGCCGGGGCGGGGGGGTGCGATTCTGGGGAGGCGAATCCAAATCCACTGTCCTCGCGCTGAGCTCCCAGAAGCGGTCCCCTGCTAGCAGGGAGCAGCCAAGGCATCGGAGAGGAGCAGAGTACGCCCGCTCCTCCTCTAGCAGCCTGAGCTCGGGGAGCCCGGGTACCACCGGCTCCTCCGCTGCGCCGCCCGCCGCTCTCCAGCGGAGCCGCTCCCTGGACCTCACCCCACGCGCTCCGGCGTCGGTGCTCTGCCGGCTTCTGTAGCTGCCGCCAGTGCGCACGCAGGATCCTTTGGGTCTGACTTGGGCGTTTTCATTTGGCAGCGAAATCTCACCATAATTTATTGAAACGCAATTCGCAACTTCCACTCAAGGGTTAATTTCAGGAGTTACATCTTTAAAAAATATATAAAAAGGAGGGAGAGAGAACCCAACTTCTGCCTTCCTGCGTTTCTAAAGGCCATCCTTGGGCGCTGGGAATTCTGATTTTGCTTTCCGCTCTCTCAGTGACCACTGGGCACAATTACAATAAGCCTGACCTAGTGAAATTCTGGGCGGTGAACACTTCAGCTGCAAATCTGGGCGTTAGGCTTTGCATTTCCAATTGCTTAGACGTTTCCCTCCCAGAGGGTTGCAGGAATTACGTATTGAAAGGGACCCGTTGTGTTACATAAGGTTTTCCCCAGCGCTAGGCAGAGAAGGATCAAGAAAGAATCCTTTCCAGGAGTCAGTAGGTCCCCCTAACTCTTGCGGCAGAGTTTGACAAGGCTGACAACTTCGTGACTAAGCACTCTGAAGTCCGCGGTTAATTAGGACAGTAGCGTCCAATGAGGACACCTTCCTGAGGCTTCTTGCGTGTTTTTCTGGGCTATGGATCCAGGCCAGGGCTGCCTGGTGTACGCGGCACTGTAGCTTTAAAATGGGAGCTTTTTTACTTGGAACACTGGTGAGATAAAGTGGTACCTTGAACTTGAACGATGGCATCAGGAGAAACCCAGGGCTCTTTGGCTCTGGTGCAGGTGTGCCTGGTAGGACGCCTCAAGTCCAAGGGTCTAAGTCAGTGTCTCGCACCGCGTAGATGCCCAGGAACCCTTTCTCCCGATTCCGCAGGGCAGCTGGGCTTTGCGTTCTGGTTGTCAAAAGAAGACATTCTCTTACTGGAAAAGTACTGAGGTCTTTGAAAGGAAAAGCAATGCGGAAGGTTTTCGTTTGTTTGTTTGTTTGTGATTAAAATGTGACGGTGACTAGAAGGGGGCTCGGAAGAGGGGCTGGCTGGTGTAAAATTGCTTGACCCATGCTTGACCCGGACCACGGCACCCACCCTGAGTGCGGCATGCCCACTGCGAGTACTACTGAGTCGTGTTCCCTCTGCCGAGGCTGGGCTTTGCAGGGAGGAGCAATGTGGATGTCTCGATGGGATCCAGCCTGTACCCAGGGTCCTGGCTCAGGCTCCAGGCTCCAGGCTCCAGGCCACGCCTCTCCGCCAGGGTGCCTGCAGGAGAGACTATTGTGGAGGGGTGAGGAGTTTCAACTTCCTGGCTGCTGGGTGGGAAATGCAGTAACTTTCCAGGTATCGTGGAAAGCCATACTTCTCCAGCTGGTATTGCTGGTAAAAGACCTGGGTAGTTCCCCATCGCTTTGCGGTAAGTACCCATCTTCCTTCAGATCTCACTAATGGCCCAGGGCTCTCTTGCTTGGCTGCCCTTTCCCTGTGGGGGAGTGGGGAGGTGATGGCTGAATCCCGAGTCGGCTTCTCTCCCCGGCACCTTAAGCTAATGAGGTTTCTCTCTCTGAACCCCAGATCCTTTCTCTGCAAGACAGAGACTGGAAGATTGTTATTAGAAAGTGAAAAAAAGATGCATGTGAAGGGCATATTGGAAATTCCAAAACACTGATGGAAAGGTCCAGGGTTACCTAATTTGCTTTCCCTGCAAATGTCATTTCGTCTGTTTTACTGTTAATTGTAGTTTCTGTGTGTCTGTATGAAGTACATGGAGTGAACGTTAAATGAAGGGGAGGCTGTCACATAAGGCTCCAGCAGCTCCTTGTGAGAACTCTACCTGAAACCCACCAGCACCAGGCCTCCCTGCTTCTCAGAACCATTAGTTTCTGAGTTTAGGGTCAGAGTAAAATGCGTTAGAGGCCTTTTTTCTTTTTAGCTTAATGCATTTTGCACATCTTAGGAAAATACAGTTTCAGAAGAAGAGGCCTGCTATTGATTAATCAAAAAAGACGGGAAGTTGCAGATGAGTGTATCCACTGGGGAACAGTGACACATGACCAGTTTCGGGAGATGACCCGGGTGTCCCTTGTCATCAGCATAAAGGACTGGCCCTCAATCACATTTTCAGCATTGCTCAAAACACGTCCCCAGGACATAGCTCAGTGCCTGGCACTTAATGGAGGATTGACAAGCATTTCTGAAATAATGAGCGGATGCTGGGACTGAACCTTCCCAGAAACCCAGTGCTGCGCGCAGGCGGATGGCATCCTTTCTGTTTTGCAGAATCAGAATGCGCAGTTCAGAGGAGTTCATTAATGTTCTGGAGGTAGAAAGGATCCCAGACTGGAGCTCAGGTCTGTCTGTTCTCATTCCACGCCCTTCCCTGGCTGGTGCTGGATGGCCCTCTCCCTCCCTCCGCCACTTAGAGTCCTCCTGACCCAGGAGCACTTCCGCGTTTGGGAAGGTGCCCAGCATCCCAACAGCCCTCTTATTCAGGTGGCACAGCCCTCCTCTCACAGAGAGACTTCCTGGTGGGAGGTGGGGCTCTGTCTCCTGGTCCATCCCTCCAGACCCTGAGCTGGGGCTCTGTTGGTGATCTCACCCGGGGCCTGGAATCTTGAGGGGCCAGCTGAAGGACACAAGGGCAGCTGAGTACTTGCTGATTACTGTGAGTCATGAATCAGGTGGCATGTCCAGCAGCGTGGATGCCCCAGGATGCCCCAGGGGTGCAGTTCTCATGCGTGATCCTGGCACGTTCCTTGGTGTCCGGGTTCCCTTGATCTTTCTCAGTGCCCAAGCCCAGGCTTGCCGCCTCTCATCCACTGCTGGGGGTAACCCACGGCCCCAAGTCAGCTCCGTTTCTCTGTGAGTTAGCCCCATCTACAATCAGCTGACGGCAGCTTCTCAGGCTCATCTCCTGGCGGGGCAGGGGGCGGCCTCAGGAGTGAGGCGTTTTCAGCTCCTCCCTCCACCCCCGGGGAATGCGCCCCTAGCTTTTTCAGGCCGTCAGAATAATACTTAGTGGGCCACAATTTGTCAATAGTTATGGGGAACCATGAGAGTTCTAGAAAAATGAATACATTACTCTTCCAAGGAATAGCCTGAACGTAACAGAAATAGATCCCAGGAGGCATCTTTTCTTTTCCCTCCAGGCTGCATGTTTTTTGGTAGCTTTCCAGTAGGGGTCGCACACTCAAATGCATTTCAGCGGCCAGGCCGTGAACAGCCTTGGAAGCCGGCCTGGGGCCCTGGCCAGGGTAAAAGGGGTGCCACCGCAGCTCAGACCCAGCACGGGGTTTACCAGTGAGACCTCAGGCCCAGTGTTGCCAGAGCTGTTCATTTGTCCGCTTTTAAGAAAGGCTGTTAGTTCACAATTTTATATAGGTTCTGTTGACTTTTCAGTACCAGCAGCTAATTCACTATTTTTAAATAATACCACGTGGGCCATAGGAAACACCTCCGTACGTAGGCCTCGTATTTGTCCCACAGGCCCCGAACCTATGGCTTTGGGGTGGGGGGGCGGGGAATAGAGAAGAAATCGGTTGCGATGTGAAACTTAGTGAGATCGGT